GGAACTTTAAGGACTTAAAATGACTGAAATTTATGGACTTCAATTAACCTTTTATTTATTTATTTTTTTTTTTGTATGTGTATGGGGGGGTAGGGGGGGGGATTCTTCATCAAAGAAATGCATCATGGTTTCCACAAAAATATTAAGCAGTACAACTGTTTTCAACATTGATAAATATTTCTTGAGCACTAAATCGGCATATTAGAATGATTTCTGAAGGATCATGTGACACTGAGGACTGGAGTAATGATGCTGAAAATTCAGCTTTGACATCACAAGAACATTTTAAAATATTTTAAAACATTTTGTTTTAATTGTAATAATATTTCACAAAACTGCTGTTTTATTGTATCATATAAATATGGTGAGCATACTAATGTGTGAGACTTCTTTCAAAAACATAAAAAAATCTTACCAACCCCGAAGTAAAAGTACTTGTATTAAATTATAACATTGTATAAAATTATATAAACAGTGTAAGTGCTTGTATAAAATTATGTTTCACATTTCTGCTTTTAAATCCCCCCAGAATTTACTATGATTATTAGTGCCTCACTGTAACCTTGATTTCAATCTGGAAAGAAAATGAGAAAGTCTACATTTTTTGTGTTAATCAACTTTATGCAACAAATTCTGCCGACTGAACTTAACTTGCATTGAACTCAGAATATTCCTTTTAAGGTTGACATAGAAATAAGAAAACGTTATTCAACTATTTGAAATGTTAATCTGAGCTTTTTTTGAATGAACTCTGCCCTAGGTGTCCTCTCAGGATCCGGGTCGTGCGCCCCTCCTGTTGTCCGCCGAGTGTCAGCGCAGTGGAACAGTGACCCGTGTGTCTCTAGATTACCACTGCTGTCCCGCAACCGCCCCCGCCAGCCAGCTGACCTCTGTACAAGTGCTGCTGCCCCTCGATCACACGGCCACCGACCTGCAGTGCCAGCCGCCCGCATCCTGGTGAGGAGCAGTGTGTGACTGGAGGGTGTGGTGAATCATTTACATTAATAACACAGTATGGGGAGTTTCCGAGGAAAGACAATTGATGTTTAGGTGGTTGCTTTTAGAGATGGAAACAAAAGAGAAAATGAAGTGAATATATGATGATAGATTTTTAGATTCAAGTTTGTTTGTTTGTTTGTTTCACAGGAACGCAGAGGAAAGACGACTCCTATGGAAATTGTCCAACCTCTCTCCGACAAATCACAGCAAAGGTCACTGCTGCCACCACCTGTTCATCCTCACCTTTCTTTTTTTTATCGCTTATTCATGATTCATGTTTAAGGGAAGAAAATTGTTGTCACCCTGATGTCATTCTAAATATGAATAGCATTATTTTTTCCACAAAAGGAAAATTTTCATGTCATTCTGTTAATAGTAACCAATGACTGCCAAGCTCTAAAGAGGACAAAAAAACATGCTCTATACAGCTTATGCACTATACTAAACAGTGTTATTATGTATTATTATTGTGTATATACTAAAATAGTATTGATTAATATTGATATAATTAACTTAGACATTTTATCTGCTTGTCATTTTTGTCTTTTTTTTTTTTTTCAATATTTTTATATATTTAATTTAAACCCACTCCCAAGGCAAACAATTAATGCACATCTATAACAACACAAAGTCTAACCTCTGCCTTATTTGATTTAATTGCAGCATGCAGTTGTAATTTGATTTTAGATTGAATAATAATTTTAAAAAATAGGGATTCTTTAGAGTTCCATCAAAAAAGCATATGGACTTGAAATAATGTAAATAATGACAGATTTTTCATTTTAAAAGTTTCATTTTAGAACTTTTCAAACAACAGTGATATAAAATGGAAGAACTAAATATCTTAACAAATATTGATTTTCTTGAGAGAGAGAGAAAAAAGCATTGCACTATATATAGTTTAGCGTTGGTACATCTGAGTTTAGATCATTGTAATGACACAAGATGTTTTCAGTGGAAGTGGGTGGAAGAGAGGCTGCTCAGAGCAAGAGGCCAAGAAACAAACTTATGAATACATATGATCTGACAGAGCATCATGGGAGTGCTGTGTACAGTTTGGAAGCAACATATTAAAATATGGGCACCATTAGGATGTTCTAAGATGCTCTTTTATTTCAACATGTATTTATGTTTATTCTCGCACATATGTGGCGTGAACCCAAGAGCAGCTGTGACTGTGAATGTGTGTGTGTTTCTGGGTCTCAGGGTCTGGCACGTTGTGCGCCAGTTGGCAGTGCCTGGAGGTGCCCCGCAGTCCTCCCCCGAGCCTGGCTGTGCAGTTTGTGGGATCGGGGGCTTCTCTCGCAGGCCTGGACGTGGAGCTGGTGGGCAGCCGCTACCGCATGTCCCTGGTGAAGAAGAGGTTTGCCACAGGTGGGAGCCAGACCTACTTTTTGTCTCTCATAAGCAGCTCTTTTCAGTTCAGAATTGTTTATTCTGCTGGATATCTTGTTACCAGGTGGTTGCTAGGAAGTCCTCTAGATGGTTGCTTTCTGGTCTAATTCTGATTTTCTAGTAAATATATAGCTCTGGTCCCTCCTGCACTTTTAAGTTTGTGATTTTGTTTGTCCATGTTAGTGTTACCATTGTGCAACAAGCTAAGCTTTTCTAAAAATCTATTTTATGGCAGAACTTAAAAAAAAAAAATGTTCATAACTCAAACATAAGAACATGTTTCAAGTCCCAGTTAATGCATGAACTTATGAAAATGTTTTGAATGTAGTGTCAATTTGAATAAAAGCATCTGTCAAATGCATAAATGTAAATATTTTAGCAATTCAAGTGTAAATTGCAAAAAAAAAATATCAGCAGGAAGATGATTATATATATAGGTTTCTGATAGCATTGATCTATTTTTGAAATAAGACTGTTTAGCTTGACATTCACCTAATCATATGTGTTATTTTAGTATCATTGAGATACTATTAGTTTTTATTAATATTTTAAATCTGCTTTTATTTTTATATTTTCTGGTTTCATTTTAAGGTTTTAGTAATTTTGTTATGTTTTGTGATTTTTAGTAGTTTGTGTCTAAATAGTATTTATTTTTATTTCAGTTTTAAATATTCTAATAAAAGTTAAACTAAAATAAGAAATGTTGCTACTAGCTGAAATGTTATATATATATATATATGTGTTTATAATATATATACATAATATATAAATAGACATATATATAATTTGTTAACATTTATTTTATTTCGAGCAACATTTTTTTTATGCTTTTGGTTTTAGTCAACTGTAATAACCCTTCTAATCATAACCATCACTGCTAAATGAACAAGCGAGTTTGATATTAATGTTATGATGTATGATTAATGGTATGATTTTAAAATTGGCCTATTTTTGCTGTTTTCTTGAAATAGCAACTCAACTCAAGACAGATATAATGATAACAGCATGATGATAACGTTCATCTGTATTGTTTTACAGGAAAATACATGGCTGGCTGTTCTTTATGAGCGGTGATGGTGACTGCTTCACTACCAGAGGCACAAAGTTTGCACTTTTTAACCCCCCCTGGGCTGCCGGAACTGTCCACGTGCTACAGGCCTGAAGAGGAGAGATCATGTTGTATATACAGTGTGATGTGTGGGAAACCGCTAATAATACCCATGATGCATTGCTCTAGGACAAGTATGCACTGGAATTAGGGACCACAACCAGCCTCTACTTTTATCTGTATAGAATTCTTTGTTTGGTGCACAAGCCACACATTTATTTCAAGTTTGAAGAACTGGATGTATATTTCTGTTCATTTTTAGTGCAAATTTGTGAATGAATAAGTATTAAGATGTACAATGGATATAAAGTTCTGATATTTACAGAATGTATGTATGTTGAGTATTCAAGAAAGGTTTAATATGAAAAATAAGTCCATGTGTGTCAATTATAACACAGCAAGCATCGGAGACAAAAGTGGTTTACACAAATTTATTACATTTTTTACCAGTACAAAATACAGTCGAACTAAGCGGTTGAGGCTAAATAAAGATTTTTTAAAAACACAAAAATAAGGTATCAATATAGTGAGAAGAATTGCATTTACCGCCATAAAAATAATCCTTAGCCAGAAGCTTTAAAACAGCATTAAAAAAAATAAAATAAAAATACACTGAGCAAATTCCCTTCCCAAAAGCACACAACAGGCAAAGAACCATGACAGGCGTTAAAGTACAGAGCCTGACACTCACAACCAACCACAGTGAGAAAACATCTGCCAATCACTTCTCAGAAACAAACACAAAGCTAGTAGAAATGAAGTTTATCTTTGTAAATATCAGAGAGGGACATGTAGGGTGCCCATTACGGGCCGCTACCAGGCACCAGTAAAGATCCCAACCTGAAAACGACATATCTCCTGAAAATATTTCCAGCTTTACGTCAGCCAAGTGGGCACATCGTTTCCATTACAAGCGTGAAAACTAAAACATCAGATGTACAGCACCAGGTGATGAGGCGTATCTGTAAGAATCTGCATATTCTGTTATATGTCTATTTTGGGTTTTCTACATCTTCTAGAAAAAGCTTTTAGCTATTATATAGCTTTTACTTTTCTTTTTTTTTGTAATTACATTTACACAATATCTACTTAAATATATATAGGAAGTTCTTTTAATCAATTAAAAAAAAAAAAACTTGTATGTTCGTTTTTAATAAAAACGACACGAAAACTATTCACATAACCTGTTGAGTGAGTGCACACTCGCTTCCAGTTACTTCAGAAGGCCTCACACACAGGTACGTTCAATATATCAACTAGGCTCTTTTTAGCAACCAAGAACTACAAAACTAGACCAAAACGTTTCACAAACCAGTTTTGATAGGACCTGCTCTGCTTGGGTTCATCTAAAACAGAACAATATCCATCAACACAGTAGGCGTATGTACATCCCGAAGCTTTCGAACGAGAGCGGGGCGCTTTCAGGGCAACCGTTCAGACCAAACAGAGTCGAATAATCTCTTTTATAGTGATTTTTATAAAATGTAATAAAAGTTAGACATTAATTCATTAGAACTAAAAACTGTTGAGGTATAGACTAGGCATCTCATATGGCCGGGGTTTATCTACAAAACGGCTAGAATGGAGCGTTCTCCATCCATTTCGGCATTGAAAAGGCTTCGGGGTCAGCAGGTTGCATCTACGCCTGAGGAACTGCGAAGAAACGGCCGAGGCAGAAAGTCTAAAAATGTGACCATCTTTAAAAGGTGCGTTAGACATCTGAGGTTCTGAGACGATACATTCATTCTGTGGTTAGAGGCACGGCCGAGAGTACGACAGAACAAGAGAAAATCAAAGAGAAAGACAGTTCTGCTCTAGTGTTTCTTTTCTCGTCTAAGGCACTGAAAGAAGACTATGGCACATGACAAAAACATATCACAAAACCAGCACGTTCTTGTTTCACAGTCGCAAAAAACCTAAAGGCGAAAGAGAGACACACACACTGACCCTAAACAGACCTACGTACCCTCAAGATAAAGAAAAACCTCACAGATGAGTGTTATCTTTGCCACCGGCAGCCTTTTGAGGTGGTCCGGCTGGGTCTGCGGTGGTCTGGGGTGAGGCTGATTAGATCTCCTGCAGGGAGGGACTGATCTCGATTCGCTCGCTCTTCACCGCCGGCTCGCTCATGCTCCTCTCGCTCATCCTCGACATGTCTCCATCACTGGCCAGATCGTCTGAGAATGAGGCATCTGGGAGAGGAAAAGAGAAGGAGGTTGGATACAGAGCAGAGGAACCTTCAAAATGAGACAGAAACTTAAGTTTGGGTTGGCATCAAAATCGCTACCTTTCTCCATAAGTGATGGCATCATGGAGCTGAGGTCACTGAACTGAAAATGTGAAGACGGCAACATTAAAAATTAAAAACCAAACCTCATACTTTTATTGTATGTTGGATTTTCATATTTAATTACATTTTAGAAACTATTTAGTATAAATAATGATGATCTAAACAAAAGTTACATCAATTCAATATTCATTGTTTAAAAATTATTCATGTTTACACAAATCATTTCCACCACAAGCAACGATTTTACCACTAACAAAAATTTACCAAAAGTTAGTGTACCTCATAACCAGGAAGACAAAAGTGTAAGGTAAATATCACTTGTGAGCAGAATATTTTTTAAATTAATTATATAACAATAATAATTAATTATTAGTAATGATTACTTTTATTATATATATATAGAGAGAGAGTAATATAATATAATTATTAATTTTAATTATTACATTATTAATTTATTTTAAAAAATTATCATTATTAATATGTAGATAGATATATTAATATTAACTATATCATATATATATATATATATATAAAATTATTACAATTTTATATTATTAATATCTTTATTATTAGGATGGGTGTATATAATTAATATAACAAATAATAATGATCAATTATTAATAATTGTTATTTATTGTATACTTATTACAATTAATTGTATAGACTGATGGATGGATGGATGGATGGATGGTTAGATAGACAATAATAAATATTATTATTATTATTTTAATCACTGTATGTATATAGTGAAAATATCTATTGTAAATATGTAATTCTCTGCATTTAGTATATGTTAAATGCTAGCTGAGAAATTAGCCTCAGCAAAAGTATTTATCCATTTTATCCCAAAAAAGTTTGAAATGTAATTTCCACCCCATGCTATTAAACACAATACATCATTTGAGAAGGACATTTCAGAAAAACACTCTGCTGTCACATGTATATATGCTCTTGGTGAAAACACTTTTCAGGCCCGCAATATTTTATTTTCAAAACACAAGCGTGAAGCATCAGAAATATGAAACTGTAAAGCAGCCAGATCTCCTCACCTCCCCCATGACAGCGATGGGCGTTTCTCCGGTTGCCATGGCAACACGGTGTTCTACCAAATAGAACATGTATTCATCATAAAGCAGACGGATGAGGTGGAAGGAGCCGAAGCTGGCAGCCGAGCGCAGAGTCAGATCTCTGATCACCATGGAGCTGAAACCAGGGCAACAGAGAGTTTCATTACAAACTAGCACAACCACACTTACAGAAGACAGATTAAAGTGCTGCTTTCAATCAACTCTCTTCAGAAGATCAGTTAAGAGGCCTAATGAAACTGAACTGAAATAAATGCACTGGAAATACCGCATTACTCTAGAGAGCCTTGTACCTGTAGAAGGACCACTTGAGCAGGAACTGGCGTGCGGCGCGGGGGAAGCTAGTACTGCCCTCATAGGGTTTCAGCACTTGGTTGACAACGTTATCCAGCCAGGCGGCCCACTGATCCAGAGAGCTCTGCTCCTGGAGGGTCACCTTAAAGTCTTGCTCCAAACGCTGGACGACACTCTCGTCACACTGGCACACCCAGGACGCCTGCTCCTGTGACAAACAAACACACGCCGAGTGTGCCGAGCAGCAACACACACCTTACACCTAACATCCATGAACCTGAGACAGGAGGTCAAAGTGGTTTCGGCATTCAGAGACGGGGTGTGATGAGAGAGACAGACCTGCACGTTAGCAAAGTCCACTCTGTTGAGGTCGCTGAGCATCTGGTTGATCTGGGACGTGTTCTGCAGGACGGCTCGCGCTGCCTGGGCCAGGTGATTCAGAGAGGTGTAGCGGCGCAGGGTCTGCGCAAACGCACTCACTACTGCAGCCTGTGCAGATGACAGCAAAACATTATGAGCATTAACACACAAAAATATCTAATCCTCACATCCTGTATGGTAAGAGTCACCAAGGTTACACCATTTACCTCTAAAGCACTTAAACATACACGTTAACCTGACAACGTATTTAATATACACTACCATTCAAAAGTTTGGACATTTTTTGGAAAGAAATTAATCATTTTTATTCTGCAAAGATGCATTAATTTGATCAAAAGTGACAGTAAAGACATTTATAGCGTAACAAGAGTTATGTTACAAAAAAGCAGTTCTTTTGAATTTTCTATATATCAAAAAATCCTGAAGAAAAAAAACAGCACAGCTTCCACAAAAATATTTAGTAGCACAAGTGTTTTCAACATTGGTGCTCAAGTAACATTTCTTATTATTATCAAATCAGCATATTAGAATGATTTCTGAAGGATCATGTGACACTGAAAACTGGAGTAATGGCTGCTGAAAATTCAGCCTTGCCATTACAGGAATAAAGGTCATTTTATATTTTTATTATTTTAAATTTTAATATATTTTAACAACAGCTTTTACCGTATTGCTTAATTCACATTTGAAAAAAATGTATGGAGTATAATTATTATAGAATTTTAGAAAAATATAAATTTTTAATTCTTTTAAATATTTTTTCTGAATTTTTTGGAGTTTATAGAACTCCTGCTTTCTTAGAATTGTGTCTGATTTGGAGAACGCTTTTCAGCAAATTGTCTCCTTTCAGAAACACACACATACCTTAGTGCGGACAATCTCCTGTGGGAAGTCACTCATGGCTGAGGTCAGCCACCCCTCTAGACTCTTTGCGAAGTTTCTGATAGCTTGAGTGAGGGTGCCTGCAGGATCACATTTCCCATCAGTCATGCACTCAGACATTCTGCTTACAGTCCAGCAGCAACACTGACCCAGGAACAGGTCACAGTAAGTGAGTGCATAAGTATAAATACTAACTTGGAACCGGCCGCAGTACATCAGGGATGAGGATCTCTACCAGTGCCTGATACAGGATGTGATCACAGCTCCTCATCCACTGCTTGATTGGTTCATATTTACACAGAGCGATCAGCTTCTCTCTGGGGAATCCTCTGATGTCTTCCACATCCTCTTCACTGCACAATATACAAACACACACATTTATTCAGACAGAAATCCAGAGAGATCTGAGTGTCAAATGTACATAAACAGCTACACTTACTTTATTTGATTACAAATAAAAATACATAAACGGGTTCCATTTTTCCAATCAATCTTTTAAAATAATAGATTATCATTATTAAAGTATAGACATTTAAAAGACATTTATAAGACATCTATAGACAAAGAATAAAAGACATTTGTAATGTTACAAAAGATTTCTATTTCAAATAAATGCTCTTCTTTTGAACTTTCTAGTCATCAAAGAATCCTAAATCAAATTGTTTCAGAAAAAAAAAAAGTTACTTGAGTACCAAATCAGCATAATATTAGAATGATTTCTGAAGGATAATGTGACACTGAAGGCAGGAGTAATGGCTGCTAAAAATTCAGTTTTTGCATTTCAGGGCTAAATTACATTTTAAAATATATTAAAATACAAAACAGCTTTAAAAAATTTTAACAATAATTCACAATACTATGGTTTTTACTGTTGTTTTGATCTAAGAAATGTAGCTTTGGCAAGCATAAGAGAAAAAAGAAAAGAAAAAGAAAAAAAAAACATTTTACCAAACTTTTGAACAATAGTGTACCTTAGAAAAAAAAAATGCATATGTAACAACAGAGATATCTATGACTTTTTAAGATTTTACTTATTTATATCCAGACTTATATCCAGGCCTGAAAAATTACAATTTAAAAATTTCGAAACATTTTTAGGTTTTCCATGAGCGTTCCAGTGGATACGGCACCTGTTAGGAATGGTAGTGGCTCCGTCACTAGATGGCGCTGTTGAATACCAAAAGGTCTGCCATAGCTTCTCTATGAGATGGAACTGCAAGTTCATCACTACGTCCAGAGTAGCCTGACGGAAAGAAATCAGGTTTAAATACAAAGTTTGAACATAGCTCCAGGCTTAAAAACATTCAAACAGGAAAACGGTTCCTTAAGATACTTCAAATGCATGTCTGACATCACATACCACTATAATACCTCGCAAAACAAATAATATCGGATTAAAAACAGTGATGTCTTTTTTATGGGCTGCAAGAAGATCTTGAGAAGCTCCCATATAAGTTATGAGAACATCCTTATATGAACTGAGAACTGAACTGAGATGAGTGTGATTGTCTTTTGTCTTTCCTGTTGGCATAGACAACTAGATAATCTCAAATACGGCCCACTCACGACATCAACACCCATCTCACAGTTTTATGAAAACAGCCAGTACTCAATCAGAAGCACCCATCTTGAAGGCAATCCACATGAATAAACTCAGATTTCAACTACATCTTATATTGGGTTTTAGGGCCAAAAAAGGAAGTTCAGTCTGCGTGATGAGCATGGCATTTTAGCAAACTGTGACATGCAGAAACAAAAGTAGGTGTTGGAGCTTTATCGGAGAGCAGAAGTGAGAGTGTGGTGAGTTCAGAGTGTGTTTGTCTCAGTGATTCACACTCGGCTCCCAGATTCTCCTAGATGAGGACACACACTCTTGTATCCAGTTACACAGGCCCCCCTCCTCCTCTCGCTGGTCACATGCTATGTTTTGGCT